GCCATATTTAACAAAATGAAATTCAATGTAGAGAAAAGTAAAGTCCTACACTTAGGCGAGAAATACCAAAAGTACACATATAGACTGGGTGAAACCAGGCTCAATAGCAGTAACTGTGGGAGGGATCTTGGAGTCTTAGTGGACAACCAGCTAAATATGAGCCAGCAGTGTGCAGCAGCAGCCAAAAAAGCTAATGCAATCCTAAATTGTATTAACAGAGGGATACAGTCAAGATCAAGGGAAGTACTAATACCACTCTATAAAGCCTTAGTAAGACCACACCTAGAGTACTGCATCCAGTTTTGTTCACCACATTATAAATAGATGTTGAGACTCTAGAAAAAGTATAGAGAAGAGCAACCAGGATGATTAGGGGACCGGAGGCTAAAACATACAACGAACGGTTGCAGGAACTGGGCTTGGCTAGTCTAGTAAAAAGGAGGACCAAGGGAGACACGATAGCAGTCTTCCAATATTTGAGGGGCTGCCACAGAGAGGGAGGGGTCAAGCTACTTTCTAAAGCACCTGTGGGCCAGACAAGGAATAATGGATGGAAACTGAACAAGGAGAGATTTAACCTGGAAATAAGGAGAAACTTTCTGACAGTGAGAACAATCAACCAATGGAACAGCTTGCCCTCAGAAGTTGGGGAAGCACCATCACTTGAGACTTTCAAGAAGAGTTTGGACTGCAATTTGTCAGAAATGGTGTAGGGTCTCCCGCTTGGGTGAGGGGTTGGACTAGATGACCTAAAAGGTCCCTTCCAACTCTGATTATCTGTTAAGTAAATCTTTAACAGCAATAGCAGCTTTTTTCTAACCAGCAGGCTTACCCTTTGAGATAAACAACGTTATCCATAGTGCCCCAGTTCAATCCCTACAGTAATTAAGAGATGATGGGCTGAAAACTATTGCAAGCAGTAGGGTAGGGGTAGCTTCTGGCATCTTTGTCCTTTTTTCATGACTAGCAGAAGGATAATAAATTGTATAAACTTGTTAACTTTGCACAACTAACTTCAGGAATTGCAAACTTGGATATAGTTGCCTGCACCATAGAATTGTACTGTTTGTTTGCTTACTGCCGGATTTAATTTTAGGCTTAAATATATTTCCAGCTGTGTTTAGTCTAATGTGTTCTGTTTTAGTCATTTGAGTTGGCTGATTGTGTGCTACAACACTGCAATTAACCTGTGTTGAAGGCTGCCTGTTCTCTTGAGCTCTGCAGCTGCTGTTCTTCCTGATGGTGGTTTGGTAATGATGTTTCAGCACACTCTGTGAAAAACTGGAACCCTTGTGTTAAGCTGACTTCAAGAACAATGAAGGACTGTATGACTGTATGAACTCCCCTTGAGCAAAACTCCCCTTGGGTAAAAGGCAGCCACCTTGGAGTAGTCCCAGAGATTCCTCTGACTCAGTAAATCTGACTCATAACTTCTCCTTTCCCTTTCCCTTCTCTTGTCCCACAGATTATGCTTTTATTCCCAGCTTCTAACAATACTGTCATTTTACTTTCATGTTATTTTCACTGACTGGCTGTCCAGGCATATCAAACTCACTCCTTCCTTACCACCTTTTAAAAAACATTTAGCGCTAGCTGAACTAAAAGACGAGTCCAGATGTCCATAATATCTTCAAGACCGACATTGGATGCAACTTACTATACCTCATATTGAAGCTACAGGGAATGGAAAAAATGTACCTACACAACACAACCATGAAAGGAACAGAAGTATCCATTAATAAGTCAGTCCCAACATAAATCTTGCTCAATGTAATCTTGGCTCCAAGTATGAAGTGCGCCTGCTGCTTCTCTTCTTCCTTCTCATCTCTGCTCCCACACCTTCAAACCAAATTGTTTTATCTGTTCTTTGAAGCAGCCCATCTTTTCAGGCTGCAAATGGAGAATTTTTTTTTAACACAGGCCTGAATGCTCTTTGACAACAGAATATTTCCATGCACTTGGAGTCCTCATTGATACCCAGGTTGTCCTTATAGATGGGGAGTATTTTCTTTTAGGTCATTGTCAGCTCTATCTGTCATGTAAGGTGATACAATCCAGAGACAAACATACTTTTTTCTGGAATGGGCCAGATTGAAACAAATTTCTCTCCGGAGAATAAAAGGGTGCTTTTTTTGGGAGAAGGAGTCCTGGTTTGGTATAGTTTAGAATTGCAGATGAACAAATACTAATTGTATGTATTTACAAATCCATTCTGGTCAGATTCCTTCTCAGACATTGAGGTTCTTCTTTAACCAGATAGGTTTAGTTCATTGTTTTTCAGCACGCCACGATTTGTTCCACATTGTTCAAATGTACAGTATTTTTCAGCACGGGGGAAGTTTGCACACTGATATGCATACAATTGAGTGAGAAGTTGCTCAGTGGATTGAACCTGTCACCAGTATCAAAAAGCACACTAAACACAATGCTAAAATGTGGGATGGTGGGGAAATTAGGTTATGCATAATTAAATCTTATTTTGCAGAGTCCTTGGTGCTCTCTGAGGGTAATTGTTTGCTTGCAGATGTTTCATTACCTGACTCGGTAACATCAATGCTAGTGAGTGTGGGGTTTTCTCCCAGTTTATATTCATTAGCTTTCCCTGACACTATTAGTGGGGGTTTGGTTTTCTGGATAGTTCCTTGATTGTTTGTCTTGTGTTAATCCCCACTTATGTAAATGTGGTCTGCTGGAGAAGATGTGTTCTGATCTTTTCGTTTCTTTCTTAGCTTTTGCATTGTGTCTTATCCCCATTGTCACAAGCATTAATGATGTGACCTAATCAGATAATGAAACATCTGCAAGCAAAGAACCAATCTCATGGAGCACCAAGAACTCCACAGTTGAACCCTGAGCTACATATATTCTCTTCTGTTTAAACTTTATTTTCTTCCAATATTACCCTTATGAATATTTTCTATTATTGTAGTTATTATTTCTGAAATGGATGCTGTAAACAGGACTAACAGCTACAGGGGGAAAGGGTTTTTTGAATATTACCACTACTTTCTGCTCCAACGTAACTATTTTATAATCTGTAGCTTCTAGTAATTTTATTTTTTTTAAAAACAATAGCACTTCAAATTGTACATTTAACATTCTAGCCTCCTACACCTGTTTAGTCAATAATAAGTTCTGTGAATAAGTTCTGTGAATGTAAATAAGTACATTTTGCTAGTATCATTGTGACTTTGCGAGAAAAACAGAACTTTAGAATAAAGTGTTTTTAGATAAAGTCACTGATTTAATTTTAGACTTTTTCTAGAAAACATCCACCTCTCCAGTAAGGTTGCTAGTTTAAGTTAAAGCAGAATGTTGAACTTTGCTAAGCTATTAAGTCTAATGTTATGGCAAATATATTTGTTCTGTGTATCCTTATCAAATGTCATAAATGCTTTGTGGTCTTCATTGTTTTCAGCAAAACAGAAAATACAGGGTCTTGCTAATTTTTAAAGTGTTCCAAGAATGTTTGCTGTTTCAGTTCCTGAATCTTACTGGTTTAATTTAAATTATTGTCTATAGACTATGATATTATCAGTCATACTTCAGTGTGTAGTAAAGATACTCTAAAACAATTCCCTTTTGGTTGGTATTTAAGAAGAATGCTTACATTATCAACGTAGGTTGGTTGATTATTTTGAGTAAGTTCAAATTACTTTGCAAACATCATGTTTTTTTTCTATTTGATATGTGAAACATTTGAAAGAAATCGCTAAATTATAACCATCATCAAGAAAAACCACAGGATTGGCACCATAACAAAATAGCAATTATGAAATTAAAAGCATCAAATTTTGTTAGCAGCATTGGTAGAACCAATTATGGAAGAGATAACTTCCCCCACCCTCAAAACTCCAATTCAGCATCAAGGATGTGAAAGTGTGTTTCATCTACTAGTGAAAGATTTGTGTAATTGTTACAATGCCTATAATATGCTGACAAAGTAGAGAGGAAGGAAAGGAACTCATGTAAGGTCTTCTGAGTTGCAAGGAAAGTTTGGAGGAACTAGGAAAGTTTTAGTTCAAGGAAGAAGCTAGCGTTTGTGGGAACATCATAACAAGTTTTAACTTTGGGGCAGGATGCTTATCAGATTTCCCCCACCTCTCCTCTGTGCCAACTATGACAGATCAAGAGTAAGTCTCACACTGAGAAAGATTGTGTAGCTAACAACTGTTTGTCCTTAGACAGTATAGTAGAAGCATCTCCACCTGGAAACATTTTCAAAACTGGCAGAAATAACAAACATTGAAAGGCTTTTAGTTTTACTAAACCTAGGTAATATTATAGAATTCCTTAGGTGAGAAATTAATAGCATTGAAATCCTAATAACAAAATTAGCCCTGTGCTTTCTGAAATCTTCTGCATGCATTTAGACACACCTATATCCATATACGCTCATATTTGCAGCTGAATTTAAGTTCTAGAGTAGTGAATTTTAATGTGGTATGTTAGTTTAGCAATTCAAAGAGTTGCCTTTTGTATGACTGACTGCAGTCAGATTCTTGACTTTTCTAATTTCAACTTCATCTCTATGATAAGTTTGTGAGCTTGTCCGGGGGTGGAAAGTGATTCGTTCAACTTTATCTTTCCATTTGCAACAAGCAACAATAAACTGGAGCACCACTTAAACACCATTGGCATTGACAAATTCACCATCGGTCAATTTCAAAAGGCAGCTTTTCTCAGAATAGCTTACATCCTGTGACAATACTTCCTACGCCATCAAACATCAACATGTGCCTATCCCAGGTCCTTAGGATGAACTCAGTAGGTGGATTAAAATGCAAAATCCATTTTGAACATATGGATGACTATGTAATGAACCATAAAAATAATCATCATTACCATGTATCTTTAAGAATGGTTGTAGGACAACATGTGCAAAAAAAGTACTTCAAACATTATAGTATAAAAAGGGGGTGCATTCCTAATGACTTTATTTACATCTGTCTTCCATACATTCTGGAACAATTTTCATGGATGACTTAATTTTTTTTCAGATGGGCAGCAGGTTTGGGAGATGGAGGCTACAGTGGACAAAGACAAGAGCCAATCTGTAAGTTCAACTCTATTGTTAGCCACAGAAACACAATCTTCCTCTTTATATGAAAAATAATGGTTAGTAAATTATGTTCTCCTGTAATGCTTAACATTGGCCATAGTGAACATGAATCTGTTCTTGTCCTCATGTGTTGTGGATGAGATTCTCATAAATAGAAATATTAAAACTAATATTTTAAATAAAATTAAAATTAATTTCTCTAAGGTTGAAACTTTAGATACTGTATGTCAAGTCAACTGTTTAAGGGGAGTTGCTTATATAGATACACACATACAACTATTCATTTAATAACTATTCAAAATTATGACAGTGCTGAAAAAAGTGACTTACGATCGATCCTTGCACTTATGACCGTCACAGTGGTCATGTGATCCAAATTGGGGGGCATGGAAACCTTCATGTTTTTATTATAGTTGTAATGTCCAAGGGTGACATGATCACCATTTGCAACCTTTCCAGGGACTTGTGACAAACAAAGATAATAAGGGAAGCTGCATTTGCTTAACAGCTGGTCCCAGTTGTAGTCATAAGTCAAAGACTATCTGTATTTACAAGATTGTAGCCCAGTGATCTCTCGCTGATTGCAAAAATTAGGCCGACAATATTTCAACTGCAAAGTCTAGACAATCATTAGAAAACTCATTTTCTGCATCTATTGATCATCTGGATTTTTGCAGGTTAGATGGGTATGTCTATTAATATTGAATTAGTGACATTATTATACTATATTGTACCCACAGTTAGTTGTTGTTGTTTTCAGAACATGCTGTTTGTAGAGATTCCAGAATATCGGAACAAGCACATTCGTGTCCCTGTTAAGGTGAATTTCTATGTTATCAATGGGAAACGGAAAAAAAGTCAGCCACAGCATTTTACCTACCATCCAGGTAATTTTTTTTTTTTATGGAAAGGACTTGTAGCACAAACATTTTGTGGAAACAGAGAGCTACTGACTATTGACAACCGAAGTACAATATACCCAAGGGCAATATAGCATTTGGATGTAAAATATCATGGTTGTAGAGCAGAAAAAATGAGAACTCTCTTGAAAGATGACAGGAATGAAATACTGCCATTCTGAAAAATAAATAGATGTGGTCATGAGGCATCAAGGAGTTGAGTTCAACTCAAAGAGGACTTTACCTTCAAAACTAAGTAGAATCGTTTTAGATTAAGTTAGGAGAAGAACCTGGGGTTTGTATTCAGAAAGTCTCTCAAGGATTGTTTGTAAGATTCCCATTTTGCGGAGCAATTTGTGCAATCATTTCCCATTGGTTGATCGTTAATTTTCTATCTTGCTTTTCCTCAAAGCAGCGCTATAGAGCACCTCACCTCCTTTCTTTCTTTCTTTCTCTCTCTCTCTCTCTCTCTCTCTCTCCCCCTCTCCTCCCCCCTCTCTCTCTTTCTTTCTTTCTTTCTTTTAAAACTTACAATCTCCACATCTAGAGTCCCTAAAAACCACAGGTGCTAGATCTTTCTTGAGTGGAGCCCTATAAACTATAAACTTCCCCATCCAGATAGCCACAGCCTTCAGATGCTGGGGAAAAACTTGACTTAATTGGCCTAACATAGACCCCCTAATGAAGACACACATTATTGGTTATTGTACCCTATGACTATTATTAAGTGTTCTACCTTATGATTCTTGATGAATGTATCTTTTCTTTTATGTACACTGAGAGCATTTGCACCAAGACAAATTCCTTGTGTGTCCAATCATACTTGGCCAGTAAAGAATTCTATTCTATGCTATTGATATGTTAGTAAATTTTCTGGCAGCAGTCAGTTTGTTGCTTACACACACAGAGATTGTTCAATTCCATAATATTGACTTATTACATCACTTGATGCTGACTTTACTAAATAGAACAATATAAGCAATATTTTATGTTGCTTGGCTTTGTGGAATTAAGTACCATGTTCAGCTGGTAGACATTATGTGCATAATGAGGGTGATCTAAGTTGCTATTGTTGTGGGACGGTGGTTGGACTCTAGGTCCCTGAGATAGGACATCGCTCAGAGCTTGAGTCTCTCTCCTTTCCACTTTATCATTTACATGGAAATGCTAGGTAAGGTCATTTGCCACCACAAGATGTAATATCATCATATGCCGCCCATGGCCTGCCCCAGGGAACCAATATAGTGCTGACTGTGCAATTGGACACTGTGTGGACTGGATGAAAAGAACCCCCTTTAACTCAATCCTAGTATGACGGAGTGGCTTTCTGCTGTTGTAACTCTAGGGTAGGGGTCCCCAAACTTAGCACCTTTAAGACTTGTGGACTTCAACTCTGAGAATTCTGGGAATTGAAGTCCACAAGTCTTAAGGTTGCCAAGTTTGGAGACCTCTGCTCTAGGGCCTAGTGATATTAGTCCATTACCCCTTGTAGCTGAACACATAAACTGAGTCCACCAAAAAGTATTGGAGGAGAAGGCAATTGAAGGTGATATGAAAGTTCAGATTGAATCTGCCAGTAGATATGTAGTAATATCTGAAAACTGAACAAGCTGAAAACTGGTAGTGGGGAATTACAGTGCCAGAGTCATTCATCTCTTTGACTGTCTATTTAGCAGTTCTTTTAAAACTGATATCCTTTATATGCTTTGTTCCAGTGCCTTCCATAAAAACAGAGCCCATTGATGACTATAATCCAAGTTTAATCTGCAATACAGTACACAGTGGTCTGAGAACAGTAACACAGCCTTATTATTCACATCATACAATGGCCTCGGAGTCTCCTTCCTGTCTTGTGGCTACAATGGCTTCTTGCCAACAGTTGCATTCAAATCTCTCTTCTCCCGAATCTCAGTATCCTTCACAAAACCCAGGAGCTATAATATATCAAAGAAGCAAGAGTCTCAGTCCAAGCCACCTGGGCTACCAGCAGTCCAACTTGATGGGTACCCAGGTTTCCATTCCAGATGTTCATAGGTCAGTGCTTGTGCACACAGGATCTCCTAGCCAAAGTTCAGCAATGCTCCATCATTCCCCAGCCAATCAGCCATCTTCTCCAGTGATTCATTGCTCTCCCACAGCCAATCATCAGATGAGATGTGAAAGCCATCAAGAGTTTCAGCATATAATGTGTAGTGAAAATTTCACATCCAGCGGAGTAAGGCCCCATCAGCCTCAAGTCAATCAAGCCCAAAGGTTAAGCCCAAGTTCTTATCCCACTGTGATTCAGCAGCAGAGAACGGCCAAAAATGGACCACCAGTAAATGATCAGAAGGAAGTGGTATCAGCTGGAGTCACTGTAAAACAGGAACAGAATCTTGACCAAGCTTATTTGGATGATGGTAAGCAATATATGTTTTATAAAATGTTATTTTCTCCCCAGTTTGGCCTTTGAAAGACATCAGTTTGGCTTCCTCTTTCTTAGGGTGCAAACCTGTAGTTTGGAGAATACAATTGGCTGCATATGCACAAAACAATAACTTAGAATTATACAGTATCCTGGCATATTATTAATATACACAGCTCTGCTTTTCCATACGCAATATGGTTTCTTCAAATTGGTTTCTTCTGCCAGTAAAAAAAGAGGTTCAATATCTTTAAAAAAAAGTTAATGTGAAAAAGCATAATATTATAATGGAATTTACTTTCACCACACAAGGCAGAAATCATAAATAATTTCAAGTCTTGATTTCAAATTCTGATTCTGATTAAAGTATCCCAAACCAGGAGTTCTGGTTTGAAGGTAATTCTAGTGTTATTCGTTGATAATGACTTCTGGCTACCGAATTTGGCTTAAAATTATTTAAAAAGTCTGCTCTTTTTTAAATTCTCTAAACATGTTTGCCTTTGGATCAAAATCCTTGACTTAATAATAATATTAACCTAATACATTTGTATTTGTTTTAATGGAAAGCACAGCTTTACTGTTTAACTGCAATTGTCTAAGCACATTTTAAATACATCAGGATATGACTTGTGCCACAAATTAATTTTAATACCACTGTTGGAAGAAATGTCCATCTAGGTTCAGTTCCAAGTGGGGAGATAGACGCTAGAAACCTGGAGGTTGTTTGGAAAGGTGGTTTAATGGTGGACAGGACCAAATGGTTTGAGGTCCTGGGCAATTGAGCACATAGGTGAGAGAGGGAGAGAGATTTATACCTTCTCTTGGGCTTCCTGTTCTTGTGGCAAGGGCATGTATTCTGACTGGTTGTCAGGCTCCCATGGGGCCATTTAGGGATAACTTTGTAGGTTGTCTTGAGTCCCAGACTTGGTTGAATCTTTCCTGGGTGATGATGTAATGAAGAAGGTTGTGTTCTGAAAGGGTATTGGGCAATTCCTATTATGGCTTAATGGCTTTGTCCTGGTTTGGATCTTGAGTGAGGGTTAATCTTATCATGTCTTGAGGGTGAAGATCTTTTATTTTGTAGATAAGCTGGCCCAGCCTTTTGTCTTGTCGATACGTTGGCACCAAAATATCTGCTGAGGGGTGCAGGGAGCTGTGGCTCCGAGTTTATGTCTTTAGAAACATGTTTCTCCTTTAGGAAAAATTTAATATTCTTCCTTTTTAATATTTTCTACAATATTTCATTTTTCTAGGAGAGGGGTGGGTGCTAACTTTCTACAACACTCAAACCATTATTATAAAGTATGTTGCTGAAAGCAAGCAATACATGTTGTTCTCATCATTGTCCAGATTCTGTACGTTCTGCTTTCTCCTCTCCTAATGAAGATTCAACCTTTATTCTTTTGTGTTCTGAGATTTTTCTTTCTTTCTTTTTTTCTTCCTTCCTGACTTTCTTTTTTTGCCACTGCTAACTTCTCTTTTGTGTTTTATCTGTTTCCCAGTCTTTCATAATTTCCCATTATTATGTGGTAGCAATTTCTACCTTTTAACTTTATAGACTTGACTTCTACTAATGGGGTGTCTTTTAATTACGCTGTTCTGAAACTAGAAGATGCCTGAATGGATAATGCTGCTCAGAGTTTATTCTTGATAAATACAATTTCTGTAATCTTTTCACTCAGTAAAATGGGCATAAATTAGATTTGTCCCATAGCAACTCTACCAGGCTTTCCCTTGCAAATTTGTCTCTCTACATAGATATTCAGCATGCTGGGATGGCAGATGCCAAGAGAAAAACTGCATTTTCTCCCTTTATTAAATGGATAACTGGTAGATTATGAAACATATGCATGGATTCTTATAGCTGCTTTCTTTGCACAATTTATTGAACTTTTTCCTGGACGACTTTTAACCACTTACAAAAAATTTTTAAAAAACAAAAATTATCCACCCTACAAAACAACATAAAACTCTTATACCCATTTGATCTTCATTGAAAATTTACCACTGCCATGCAAAATCTGGCAATGAAAACCAAGCAGGAAATTCACATGTTCTATTTGACTCAGCACTGTGATTGACAGCAGGTCTCCCAAGTCTCAGACCTTTTTCTGGGTAGATTTTTAAACTGGAGGCCTTCTCCACTTGCAAAGAGATATTACATCTTTGAATTTCAGTCTTTTCAAATTTTGTCTCATAATTGTTACAAAATGTTTCAGGAACATCCCTGGACTATTGTAGAAAGAAAACAAAATATTTGGGACCGATCCTTTCTAACCAATTTAGGTTAACAGAGGCACAAAGTACATTTCTCTTTCAAGCAGGTGAATAGTCAAAGGTGGATTGGCATCTGCATTACGATGTTCATGCAAGTTTCGTTGAATTAGTATTGTCCAAGGCGATCCATCAAGCCAAATTTATCGAGGAGTCCATGGTGCTCTCTGAGCTTGCTTGTTTTCTTACAGACGTTTTATTACCCAAACTAGGTAACATCATCAGTGCTAGTAAAGTGCTGCTTGCTGTCAGTTTATATTCTAGAGCAGTGGTTCCCAACCTTTTTTTCGCCCCGCACCCCTAAAGAAATTTCACTCGAACCTTGCACCCCCTGAAATTTAGACTTTAGGAAGTACTGAACGCGTTAAATATATGGTAGGGTTGAATCTTTTCAGTTATGTATGTGAGGGCCACTAAATAACGATACTTAACTCTAAAATGAAAACAAAATTAATCCATTGCATAATAAATAAAAATGCCAACATATAGCCAATATCCTATTGTTTACCTGGACTTTTCTCACACCCCCTGGAATATTGTCTCGCACCCCCGGTTGGGAACCCCTGTTCTAGAGGCTTGCCTGTCAGTGTTGGTGGGGGTGATCTTAGAGATTCTTTGATTGGATTGTTTGCTGTTAGCTTCTCTCACAGTTTCTTGATCGGGATTTTGTTTACTTGATCTGATGTTAACCTTGGAGTTAATCTATGCTGACCTGGGTGCTAATTGCTGGTGGAAAGGTATTTGGGTCTTTTTAGTCCTTTGTTGGGCTGGGTGATATTTTCTTTTGCGTAGTCTATAAATGTTGTTAATGTCTATATATCTGTTGATTTTACTCCTCTATATTTTCCCACAGATTGAGCTATAGATGGTTAGAAGGAATTCTCAATCAGGACACCACGATTATGGGATTGTGTTGGCAGCAGCTTTATTGCCAAAATTGGGGTCACCAACCTTTTGGACCTCAGGGACCACCAAACTCATAATTTTAGATCCCAGGGACCACTAACTGGTTCTGTGGGTGTGGCCTAATTTGTGGGTGTGGCTTGGTGGTCATGTGACTGACTGGGCGTGGCTTGTATACAAACATTATAAATATTTATATAAATATTGAATTTTTTTATAAAAAAGAGCAACTTTTACCCAAAATCAGGCAAAGCAGGCAGGCAGATTGACTTGCTCACAGAATCACAGTTTCATTCAGAGATCTATCTATCTGCCATCGGCTAGCTCAGTCTGTCACAAAATTTGCTTGCAAGCAAACTCAAAAAAATTGCTAGCAAGCAAACTCACAAAATTAACTCACAACACACCATGTATGTAAATATTGAATTTTTATTTTTAAAAAAAGAGCAACTTTTACTCAAAATCAGGCAAAACAGGCCGACTGAATTGCTCACAGAATCATTCAGTGATCTATCTTCCATCAGCTAGCTCAGTCTCTCAAATTTGCTTGCTGTGAGTCTGCATTGAATTTGCTTGCAAGCAAACCTTCAGTTCTAAGGGAGGTTCGCTGTACTTAAAAGCAGAGCCGAAGATCTAAAGACTAGCTAGAAAGCAAGAAATCCAACCATTTCCTGCTTCTAATCTAAATCTAGCTAATCTAAATCTCCCAACACAGCAGAACAGATGATAGTCAGAAAAAGGAAAAATAGAAATTTAGCAAGCAAATTTGCAAGGTAAGGAGTGAATGGGCAGGGAGGATTCCCACGGGCCATGTGGGTGGCGCAGCCTTGTGTTTCTGTGCAGCCTGGATTAATTACTTTGGAAGGGTGCTCTGGGGGTGAGATTTCTCTGCAGCCCACCAAAATTTTCTCATGGCCCATCGCTGGCCTATGTCATAGATTTTATTTCATTTTACTTTATTTTATTTCATATATATATATATATATATATATATATATATTTACTTTGCTTTGCTTACTTTATTTTATTTATTTAATCGTGCCTTTCCTCCAATGATGTCTGGCAAGTAAAACTATTACATTTTTAGAAAGAGTTGGATAAATAACATTTATTGTTCTATATTCAGTAATGTTTGAATTGAGTTGCACGGTTTTGAGGCACAAATATGCTTTGCCTACAATATTTTTATTGCTCATTATTGTCTAGGTATGGCTTCACTGTTGGCAACACTGTTGGCAACAGTTTCAGATCTTTCAAAATACAGTTGGAAGGGAGCTTGGAGGTTTTATAGTCCAACCTCCTGCTCAAGAGGGAGGTCCTATACCATTTCAGACAAGTGGCTATTCAGTCTCTTCTTAAAAACCTCCAGTGATGGAGCACCCACAACTTCTGAAGGCAAGCCATTCCACTGATTAATTGTTCTCACTGTTAGGAAAATTCTCCTTAGTTTTAGGTTGCTTCTCTCCTTGATTAGTTTCTGTCCATTGTTTCTTGCCTTGCCTTATGGTACTTTGGAAATTCACAGAATTTCCAAAAATTCATAAAATTCATAGAAGTTTCACAGAAGTTTAAAAGAGTGTTCCAAAAAGTACTCAAAGTTCCTTGAATTGAAGGTGCCACATCCTGGGTTTGATTGCATATATGTGCATTATAAGCATTAAAGATAAAAACAAGTTTAAATACTGCAAAGTCTAATGTTTTTTTAAAAAATGTTTCCTTTGGTATTATTCTTCACTTGCTTGTCCAGTCATGTAATAACATATAAGTTACAAACACACTCAGAAACAGACACATACAGACATACAGACATGCTGCAAA